ATTACAATATGAGTGTCTTTCTGACGAAATATTTAAGACAAGAACAAATACTGATGGTAAATGTGGTTATAAACAGTATAGGAATTCACGGATTCTAGATTTAAGGATTTATTGTGATCAAATACAAGTTGGTTTATTAAAATAAAATAAAAGGTACTCGTCATAAGCTCTTGTGTATCTGATTATTTGTTATTTTTTTTTAACAATTTAATTAACTGGAATAAGAAATTATTCAGAAATGCTCTGTTTGTATTTCACATAAAAAAAGTTACTTTTTCTATGTTATGCATAAAATAAAATAATAAATCAGTTGAAATAATTCATTATTTCAAAATGTTATATTTTATTTTATTTCACATAAAACGTGCTCAAGCTTGTCTATAACGTTTTCATGGATGCCATGGGTAAAGCGGACGATGCAATTAAAAGTTGGTGAACAAATAGGGGAGCCAAATAGATTTTCAGTTTGATAAATCAGAAAGTTTCACCTCTGGCGGAACTTACGCCCGCGTTACGACGGATGATCACGTGATACACGCGAAACTTAGCAGTCTGTTTTTGAATAAAAGTGCTACAAAGCCTAATTTCAACTTGTTACGTGTTAGTCTACTGGTGCACGACCCATGTCAGTGGTAATTAATTGGATTCGGATAATTCTCTACTATCTACGAGAAACTGGTTTCTCTGACAGATTTTTTGTTCGATTCATGATGGATTCTGGAAAGCTGTCATAATGAAATTGGAATTCTTGACGAATTACGGTCTATAATCGCGTTAATGGATATGAAAAAAATAAATTGTTTCCTACGATTTGGAACTAGGAACAGATACTGCCGATACGTTCGATAATGGAAGTTATGGATTATATGTATATTCCTAGTAAAAAATTTGAGATTAATTTCTTGGTTGTATTTACATTCTATCTCCTGCTAATTTTATGGTTAATTTAGTGTGGAGATAAATAAGGCTCTAAATGGTAAAACTAAAGTTTTAGTCTAGAAGGTTTGATGATTCGGTCTAAGAGGAAAACGATCGCTTATCATAATGTTATTTATTAACAAAATTTATTGAAACTTATTTATTACATATAACACACTGCTTTATATAATTTTAGAATACTTTTGTTTTAATATTTCAAGCGTCTGTTAATTAACAATAAAACGAACTTTATATTTAAAGAAGGATGGGAGTCCGTTAGACGGTTTACTCAAAATTGCTGTTGATGCCACAAAGAACTTTATTACACACAATAAGGTGGGATAATTAAAAATCTCGATATTGAATTAGCAGTCCATTGTCCAGATAGGACAGCATCTTTCAAATTTTGATCTCTTTGATAAAAGTTTTGTATTTCAGTCGTCGTTAATACCAGTTGAAAAAATTTTTCAATTTCACCATGAACTTTCCGAACAATTTAATATTTATAACAATTATATGATACCAATCGCTAATTTCACAAATTAAAACCAAATGTTTGAAATGACATATCAGTTTCTTCAAAATGTGAAAAATTCGATTGTTATTGCTCTTTCGCTATTACCAATATCTGCATTTTGTCAAATCCGTATAAATAACGCGCTATATTATTATCTTCGTTGCAAATGACTATCAATCCACTCACGCTGAAGTGGGTCGTCGATCGACGTCTTCGATATTCTTCTTTCCATCGAAGAGGATCGTGCAACTGTTCCATATACGCGTTTCTCATGCAAATATTTCCTGATCAATCGCTCCATCGTTCCAGTACAAAGACAACACGATCCACATCTACCCGTTTCCAAGCCGCCAGTTTACTCTGGATACATTTCTCGTTGAGTGGTATCGAGATGCAGCCTTTGAAGCTTTTTTCCACTTCTTCCTTTCGTTTTGACCCTCGAGTTTCTTCCGACGGAAGCAGACAAAGAATTATATTTTGTTTTAACTGCACGAATGACAGAAACAAGATAAAGGATCCATTGTTAATGTTCTTAAGAATTTTTAGATGCTGACGTCGAATATTAAGTATCTAAATATGTTCACATAAGTTTTTATTACATGTACCTTTGGGGCAGTTTCATATTTTTACAACAGTTTCTAATACCATACTTATTGCATAAGGAAGTAAATTGGGTTTATAACTGTAACTTATCTTAATAATATACATTGGGATTGTTGACTTTAGAAATGGATATATAATAATAATAATAATAAATTCTTAAATTTATACTTTTTGTAGGCTTAAATTTAATTTATTTAATAAGTTTTAATTTCATTAATTTTATGTAATTTAGTTTACTTTGGGCATATCAATTTTATTGCCAACGCGAACATCGAAAAGCATGATTGCTCTTTAAACCTTTAATATTTAGTGCTTATTCAATAGTAGTATGCGAGTATATTATAAGCTTACATTTAAATTTAAGGCAGACAGGGCTAGACAGGCACAACAATTCGATCATTCGTTACTTGAAGAAGACTTATCTAAGGATTTGACAACAGACAGAATTTCAAGAATTTGAAGAATTTTGAATCAGATTTTTAGATTTCGCCGACTTTCAGAATTAGTATCTTTTTAAATTCATAAATTTTTAAGATTACTCAAATATTATTTAAGGATTGTAAGATTCTCAAAATTCGTTATTAGAATTTACTTTTTTATTTACTATTCATATACTACTAGCCGCATGTGGCCGGCTTTGTTCGGGCATTTTAGAGAATGAGCATCAGGCGGATAAGATCTAGTTGTACTTTATACGGTATTTTTAAAGAATTCGAAGAATAACCGCATGTGCCTGATGTTGCCCGCGTTTCTAGAGAGTAGAGGATTGGTGAGGTTGGGTTAAAGAAGGTTTCATTTTCTTTGTTGACGGGTAGCACTTGCCTGATGGATTTCCGTTTCCTTTTACATATTCTGAATCCAACAGACTAAATAAAAAAATTACAATAATATTCATCATACTGGGTGGAAAAATACTTACCAGATTAAATTAAAAAGTACCGTAACGATATGCGGATACGATGTTCTTCCTTCATAAATAATTTCGATATCAACTTCTTTTGTGCCTTACCTCGGTTACGTCGCTCTATCTTTGCCGTGTAAAATTAACGCAATGTGACATTTACTTCAAGTTACTTAACAAGTTTTGTTGCGCGGCCGTTCAGGGATTTAGGGAATTTGAAGTGGATTGTCCAAGGGGTGGACTCTAGGGATAATTGGAGATTTGGATCTCCGCGATATTTTTTGTGAAGTGCCAACTTTGTTATATCCTAGATAATATTTGATCCTAAAACTTATATCATATATATATTGCTGACATATTTTTCCATATTCTTTTGTGCATATTTATACATTTTATATAATTGCCATATATTTCTTCCATATTTAACCTATGTAGTATCTCAAAAAAGTATTCGAACGCTGTAACACTGTTGATAGTTTTTCATCTTCCTTTGCACCGAATGTAAACATCATTGCTAAATGAAAATATTGGTATGTTCACTTGATGTTAGGATATCGTTTCAGTAGCAGTAAAAGTGTGCACAATAGTATTTAAAATGAATACCAAAAAGTCTGAAACAAAAGTGTGAAAGAGAAATAATATTCCGATTACATGAGGACAGCAAATCATATAACGAGAATGCCGGAATTGTGAATAGAAGTAAGTTCACAATACATTATATCATAAAAAAGTCAACGAATAAGGGAACACTTGCAAACAAAGCTCGATCAGGTCGACCAAAGAAACTGACTGGAAGAGAAGAGAAAGTTATCATTCGCGAATTAAAAAAAAATCCTACTACATCCGCTCCTCAACTTGCAAGTATGGTAGCTGATATGTTTCATAAAGAAGTTCACCCGGAATTATGTCAACGAATCTTCTGAAACTGTGATTTTCATGGCAGAGTACCGCGAAAGAAGCCATATATTAATGCGGTAAATCATAAAGAAGATTGACTTTTGCAAAAACCTATATTAATAAAGATAATTCTTTTTGGGATAAAGTCATCTTTTCGGACGAGTCAAAGTTTAACATTTTTGGTTCAGATGGTCAAAGTTATGTGTGGATACAACCAAATACGGAATTGGAAATTCGACATTTACATCAAACAGTGAAACACGGACGTGGATCACTGTTGGATATGGTGTGGGGGTGCATGGCTGCCAGTGGCACCGGAAATTTGATATTTATTGATGGAATACTTGATAAATATAAGTATTTAAATATTTAAAAAAATAACCTTAAAGAAAGTGTCCATAAATTAGGATTATTGGAAGATTTCCACTTCAACAAGATAATGATTCTAAGCATACTGCTAGAATTGTGAAAGAATAGATCGTATATAACACACCACACATGTTAATTATTCCACCGCAAAGTCCAGACATAAATCCGATTGAAGATATATGGGCTGAAATCGGGAAAAGGTTAAATAAATTTCAGATAACCTCAAAGCAAGTATTGAAAGATAAAATTATAGTAATATGGAACTCCGTTGAGTGTAGTTTTACAAAATCATTAGTTTACAGCATGGAGACTCGTTATTGCTGCTAAAAGTGGTCCAACAAAATATTAATATTAAGTAATTTAATAATATATGTAGCGTTCAAATACTTTTGTGAGTCACTTACAATGCGTGTTTCTAATAAATGTATCGTAACTCCCACCTACGTTATTGAATCCTTTCCAAATTTCACTGACATAATCCTAAGACTTCCATCTTTCTATTGACATCTGCTTGTTTAAGCAAATTACTTTAATGTACATTATTTCGGCCATTCAAGTTTGCATATGTAAGCGTTCGAATACTTTCGTGAGCCGCAAAGAAACATCCGCTGAGAAAGAAGAGAGTTTATTTATTATTCGATCACGGAGTTCAGATATTTGAAAACGGTAATATATGTATTATTACTAAAACCAGACCAAGGTATTCCTCTGTTTACGGATAGTAACGTGTACAAGCCGTCTTAACCCCGAAATCGTTACAAATGCATACCATTGCTGTTGAAGCCTGCTATTCGATCCTTGTCGCCTGTTTTTTCCTCCTAAACGTCTGCCAGCTCCCGGGGGACAAAATTCCACCGGCTGAGTCGCTGTGAACAGAGTGAAAAGAGTTCTTTCATGGGAATTAGGGCACAACATTCGAGAACGAATGCGCTTTCTCACGGGAATACCGTCGGGAATACGGTGTGTTGCGGTCTTTACCTAAAGTGCAGTCGCGCCATACATCATTGCCGGTGCAGAGAACACGCGGAGAAGAGAATCGTCCCGGACCTCGAGTCGTGTGAGGACAATGGCCATCAATCGGTGTATCGTTGCCGGATACGTTGTCCGTTTTGTTTCTTTTTGTTCCTGTTTGCTGGCTCGACCGGGTGGTAGGTCGAACGGAACGTTTTAGACGAGTTCGGTGGTGGGGAAGATACGTTTGAAATATGGTTCGAGCAAGTTTTTGTGGCAGAGTTTACGTATTTGGTTTACAGGGACGCTTTGTCGGGGAAACACGCGGAGTGAATCATTCGTTTTGGTAATGGAAATCAAGATCAAATCCTATTAATCCAGTATATAGCAATTATAACAAACGCAAATCAACATTTTACTTTAACCCGTGGCATTGATGCTGATAAATAAACTGCAGATTTTTATGCATTTGTGAAAAAGTTAAAAGTAAAAGGATGCCGAAAATGTGTGTAATATGCAAAATTATATAGAATATCTGAACTAAAATACCCGCTATAGTATAGTTATATTCAATGGGTAAAACTGTTTACTTAATTTCCATTTCTCTAATTACTAGAATAGAAATATGAACGTGCATAAATATCCGCAGTCTACTGATAAGGATCAACACATTCATCATTCGTATCATTCAGCTCCATCGTCATTGAACTTTGGTTGGTATCCTACATATGCGATGCAGTGACCAACGCAGGATAAAATGTTTAAAATTTATAAATGTTATACAAAAGTATAATAAGGAAATACTTCTTATGTATAACACGTAAATATTTACACTTTTTCAAGATTATTATTATTTGTTTAATAATACTAAGACAACATAATAAACAAGGTATGTACAATGTGAACAATGTAATATTTTTATTTATGAAAACTCTAGAAATGGTTGTATGATCATATTGCGGTAAATCGTATTAAATGGTAATCAATAGTAAGTGTTGCTGGTTTCTTCACAGAATGTGCTTATTTCTTTGTACAACTTTTTGCAAATTCCCGACTAAATTCCTTTTATGCTCTTATTGCATTGTTGCCCAGTTTGTTGTGCATTCCCATTTTTGCTTTGTAGACAGAAAGTGAGTGTTTCGTCCAAGATCTGCTAGTGTGGACTCTTCAGTAAGGCTCTCACCTAACAGACCTATACCTTAGACACAACGAGAGAAGACATTTTTTTGCTTTGTATTTCATGATGCTCATTTGAAATGTAATAAGCTGTAGGAGGTGTGAAAGGAAAGTTGGTGAAAATATACTTGGTCGCGCATGAATTAATGAATCTTAACTTAAATTGAACTTAATCTGTCACTCCAGTAGGCAGTAGGCAAGTTAACATTCTATTTCAATTGACAGCATTGGAATGGTAAGGACTGATTGACTCAAGCCTAACTCAAACTTGAATAAACTTAACATAGACCTAAGAAAAGCCTAAACTAAACCTAACCAAAGGTAACTCAAATCTACCCTAACCGAAATCTAATAAGTAACGTATTTTGGGCAAAGGAATTTTAATGCACTCTTTGCATCCAAGATAAAGAAATAAAGAAGTTTTTTAAAAATGTGGTAATAAATTTTATGATTTTCGCGAAAAATATTAAATCAAATTAATGAATTATATATTTTAAAATGTGTTATAGCTCTTAATGAAAATATTTGTTATATAATGAAAAATTACTATTACACAGTTTCTTTCATGTAGTGAATGAAATAACTTTTCAATATCGTAAAATTCCTTTTCCTTGATGCTTCTCAACTCTCGGGTGGTGGAGATTGAGTCAATTTTGAATCATACAGATAATTTATGTTTGAAGCTTGTGATCTTATTGCCATAAAATAAACATTTAACGACCGAGACGAAAATAAACAAAGGCTAAAACTACAATATAAGCGTATTCTGTATAATTATAGATTTTTTCATTTATTCTAATCCAATTTTTATTTATTTATTTATTTTTAATTTAATCTTTCTTATGTACAACTTGCAATGTGCTTTTTACTGGCAAGTCAATAATACTTGTTAAATTATTGTTAAATAGTAACTTTCAGAAGAATTGCAGATCTAAAGGTTAGCATTTTAAAGATGATAATCTAGGTCAGTCACTAGTTACTCAGTTTCGGACGTAACTAATACAAACAAACAACAAACAAACAACGTAACAAAGGTGTATACTGACATATTGAAATTCAATGTCGTTTTTATTACCACTTTTCTACAAAACTTAAAACCTGCTACGATCCTTGAATTTGTATGCTTCAATTGTAGGATTTTTACTACACTTAGTTTATTTACAATAAATGAATTAAACATATGTTGGTTAAACAGGAAACGATGGTTGTTTAACGTGAACTAATCACAATAACGTATTATAATTAAGACAACTAGATAATTAATTTGCAACTCTCGTCACCACGAATCCAATGCTCTCTCTCACGCGGACCACACTCTTTCGACAACGCTAGCAACCCTGACTTCTCGATTCACACTCTCTGGCTTCTCAACTCGCACTGACTGTTAATTCGTCTTTGTTCCTTAGCAACCCCTTGTCTTTTGTCTTAGCCCCACCACGCACGTGTTTCGTAACCGCTCGTGGCCAGGGTCACGCAGGCCTTTTCCGCGACATTGTTTATAGTTCGCCCGATATCTCTTAGGCATTTCGTCCACGATACTATACAATCTTATTTTTATTTCAATAAACAGAAAGACTACTAATGTTTTTAGAAAATGTTTAAACAATGGAACAGAAAATCGTGTATATCCATAACAGCTCCTTTATATTTTTATTTGAGAAATACGATTGGACCGATAATGGCCATTTTATGTAAAACCTACAAAATTCTTGAAAAGCTTCTAAAAACCAATCACTAGAATGTCCGATAGAAATTAGAGAGCTAATTTGATCAAAGAAAAGTACACAGTATACGTGAGTTATTTTTGCCAATCTAATAACCAATTTCTTTATGACTTCGTACTTGACTCTGCACGGAATTTCACAGTGGATCATTTAATCGGTATCGTACATCAATCCCACTCGAAGTGGCAGTCCTCTATTTCCAGCGTCATTCATTTTGCGTCGTGAAAGGATATCGAATGTGGAAGAGGTCGCGGGATAAAGGTTGGTCCTCTAGCCATTCAGGCCACGAAACAAAGATTGAAAAGCGATACAGCCAGCCAGTTATGCTTTGACGTTTTCCAATTTCTGTACCCCTTCACGACAGGGGATTTATCGAAAAAAAAAAAAACAAGGGCCATGATCTTTGTTTCGTTGAAGATGAATAACCAAAGTGATGATCGAAGCGTTTACATCGATGAAGATTAAATACACATATGTATATATCATTTCGTAAACCGAATCATATAATTTTTAATGCACCAATTGATTGTAATTTGTTATTTCATAGAAATGAAGAAACTATTTTATTATTATCTATTACATTAGGTAGTAAGCATATTTACTTCTTTGCAATGGCAAATCTTTTTTGAAGAATGATAGAGAATAGCGAGCGAAAAGTAATGAATTTATTTAGATGTTTAAGTGATTAAATATTATACATTGTCTTCAGCATTAGTCGATATTTGTATTTTCTTAAAATAATTGTACATGGCATTTATATAATATATATATATATATAATATTTGTGATGTAATATCGCGAAATGTATTTCTAATCCCATATGTTCTGTGAAAAGATGAAAATATGTCACTATACAAATATCATGTATCTTTCTTAACTCTACAATTTTCATACGTAATATTCTGTCTTATCATCCCTGATATAAAAAATATTTTAAATGAACAAAGTTAATGAAATACTTAGATGTATAATATCTTAATGTCCGATCATTATTTTTCGATAAGGAGGAACAAAATTCATATTCCGAAGACCAAAGTATAGAAACGTAATTTGTAACTATCTTTTTATCAAACCTATAACATGTACTATATTTCACACCAAGTGTATCTTAAAATTTTTTCTATGTCGAAAACCGATTAGTGAAACGATAATATTAGACGAAAACGTGTACGTTATCCCATCCCTATGGTTTCCGTTTGAACCGCAAACCTTATCTAAAAGCCACCTAATTACTCGTAATCGCTACTTATCTCCTGTTACCATCAAATCCCTTAACTTTCTAGTTCCTCAGGCACCTCCAATGCTCATCAATATATCGATATCTACGTACCGGTAATTTGCATGAAACTTTGATTGCTTACCGTTGGCATCATCTTACGTTAACTTGCTCAGAAATGCGTTTCGTACATTACGAAAGTTAAATCCGCTCATTAGTTTATTCAATGATAAAAATAAAAATAAAATAAAGAGGAAAAATATGACAAATAAATTCTTTAGTGTATCAAATAATAAGCGCAAAGAATTTTAACTTCGGAAAGTGGTATGTTTGTTGGTTTGATACGGTTGGAATAGCTTTTTATAGTTTTTTTTACTTTTTTTCCTTAGCAATGCGAGGGTAATTATTTATTACTATTATTATCAGTTTTTTATACCTTTCCAAGTAATAAAAGCTATGAAACTGTAAAGTACGAGCATTATAAAACTATAGAAGCCATGCTGCAGGCTAAGAAATATGGGACTGATGAAAAAGGCCATAAAAGTCATACTCTATACTATATAATGAAAATTATAAATAAAAATAAAACTATTAAAACTATATTGATTAACCCGTTAAGGATTAAGGGAGAGGCAACGCGTAAAAATTCCATAAACGTAACATGGTTAAAAAATATAAAGTAATTTACATATCATTTTATCACACGGTACGGAAAATGTATTAAAATAGTAGATACTTCAAAAAAAAGTCTTTACAGAGAGCCCACTATACAAAATATAAATATAAACAAAATTTCTAAGATTAAAAATAGTACTTTGAACAATTAATCAATTAAAATACTTCCCAATCTTCATAAAATTATAAGATCCAGATGGATGAAACGATGAATAAAATAGTGATGAAAAAAATATTCAGCAAATTCTTAAAAGCTTTTGTCATAATCACAATATTAAACATCAGAATTCAATGACGTGAGTTAACAGAAAAAAATTGCGCATGTAACGCAATTATGATAATGCAATGTTAGTCCTTAGTAGGTTAATGTATACTAAAATATCGAATAATATTATTAATACATTTAAGTATATTTAATATATTTTTTGTGCAATATTGGAATCTTCTACATGAAAATTAAAACAGCGTATTCATTTGTTTCAAGCATTATTTGGATCTGAAATATGTAATTTGTAATGGATGGAAGTTAATATTTTAGAATAAAGTACTTACATAATTTTTCTGAAGTGATAAAAGTTGTCTGTTCGCAGGTTTTGAAATAATATAGATAGTTTGGAAGATTGATATAATTA